TAATTTAATATTAAATAAAGTAAAATATTCTTATTCTACGTTAAATTCCACATTGATATATCATTTGTTGGTATTTTTTCAAAAAAATATTCCCGACAAAAGTGGTCTTTGCGGCCGAACCCGTGGTTACAGGACAATATAAGTTACATATTCGGACTCAGGGTTAAAAAGTCTATGGGGATCAATCATAATATCCCGGTTGCCAGCTTAGGCCGAATTCGACCGTATCCTTTGTAAACTTCAAATAAATGTTACTGACTTTAAGTGAAAATAAACCTTTTCATCCAGCTTAAATATAAATTCAGGTTTAATGGTTATTTTTAATAAAATATTTTTATAATGATTTAAGCATGTTTTATTAATACTAATGTTTGTAATAAAGAATAAATAACCCTGTAAACTTACTTAAATTTATTGTTAATTCTATTTTTAAAATCTAGACATAAATTAATGAGTTAAACTGAAGGATAATGAACTTACAGTAATTTTAATTTTAACAAATGTTTTATTTCCAAATACTACAAACATTTTATATTATTTATGCTTTTCATTTATTTTAGTTGTGTTCATAAAAATTAAGTATTTTTATTTTTAAATAGTTTAATTTACAAATATTTCATATTTAGATATTTTTTTAATCTAATTATAGCAACATTTAGACAATTACAAAATCCTGGATCCATTAGCCATACCCTCTCCTCCCTTATCCCTGCAATGGATAACAGTTTTCTCAATACTATTGCAGAGACAAGAGATTCACGACTCGTTTGCGAACCAAATACTGGTTAACAATACCTATGACTTCGTGGTTGTGGGCGCCGGTAGTGCCGGTCCGTTCCCGACCTAAACCCCTGTCCCGTTATGAAGTGTTGGGTTAACATATAGCCTCCTTGATTTGCACCATTAATATCCGTATAACTATATCCTAAATCATTAAACACTTCAAACAAGGTCTCAAATATTTTATCAGGACTTTTAGGCGTTGACACTTGTATTGGTCCACGAGTTCCGTGATATCCGGGATTACTCTCGACAACAGTCGGATCGGTATTATTCTCCCATTTCTTAAACACTGGCAACAAATCCTTATAACTCCAACCGACAGCACCGTACGTATTGGCCCATTCATCATAGACTCGCCGATTACCCCGATTATAGATCATATCATTATGTGTTGTACTGCCACCCAATGTCTTACCCCTGGGCTCCTTCATCCTCCCCCCGGGGTATTGCTGTCCAAAGTTAGGACTTGACTCGGAGTAGTAGTTCCAATAATTGATACCATTTGGATATATGTAGTCAACCATCCCGGGTATGTCGTTATAGACAGCACTTTGAGCACCTCCTGCCTCAAGCAATAGCACCCGCACTGACTTGCATTCACTGAGTTTATTGGCCACCACAGCACCGGCAGCCCCGGCGCCCACCACTATAAAGTCATAACTATTATCCCACGTCTCACGTGAAGTAGATTTGTCGTGTATTAACTGTCTTCGAGCCGTAATCCATGAGAGCACCAGTAGTTTGAATGTTAACTGCGAAACGGCAATCATAATTTTGAGTATTTTATTTTAATTGAATACCTAATTTAATTTGTTTAAAATACAAACAAATATTTTAATTATATACAAATGTCTGTGACGTAAAAGCAGGTCAATTAATTTTATGTTATTTTATTGCTCTAACTTTTAAATTATTATTTTTATACTTGAACTATATATTTACTTTTTTAAATTATAAGGTATTTGTTGGTATAATATTTTATATAAGAAACAATTAATAGGGGATACATAGCTGTAAAACTTTCATAACTGATGATGAATAGTTTCTTATAATAATTGTAGTACAGTATAGTACAGTATATCTCATTTACACTTAAGTAAGGTATAATTTTATGTCTTACAAGTACTGTACAGTACTGTTTGCAAAAATAAATATTACATCTCATATGAATAGCTATTATTATAATTTTGTAGTAACTAAAATATGATAATTAACAAATATATGGAAGTAAGATATGATCACACATCATTAACTTCAACAGCAATTAGTAATTACTGAACAAATAATTAACACTTTTATCTTATAGTTAGAGTTAATTAACTATTTGAAGCAAAATCATACCTAAACTCACCTTGAATTATATAAATCACAGTATTGTAATACCATTTAAATAACAAACTAATTGGGTATGTATTATAGTGTTAGTGTTTTTAAACTTGATTTATATGATAGCATTAGTCAGGATATAGACATTAATTGATTACATTTCGCTCATATTGTTAACAGTTTACGTAATATACAGTACATTCAAGATTTATTGGTTAATACGAGTGAATTCATATAAATATATTTTATAGTGAAAATTAGATTACAAGAAATATAATTAGATTTAGAAATATAACATAATTAACATTTAATTTATAATTTTAAATTCTTATGGATAGATTGATTCAAAGGAGTCACCATGGTCATCATTATGATCAATATCATGATTGCCGTTAAAGTGATCCCAATTTGTATTTTTAATGAAATCATCTGCTGGTTTTATCTTAGCTTTATCTGAATGTACAACTTTCTTGAATTGATCCAGATCATCATCAGCACTTCCAATACCTTGTCTGTAATCCTCCAACACAAGTGCCGCCCCCTTCTCCCCGGCCAGCATTGCGGCCGCATTTGTATTGGCGTTATTAACCGTCGGATATACTGATGAGTCGATTACTCGAAAATTACGGACGCCTTTCACTCTCAATCTCTCGTCCACCACCACATCATCCCTGTCCACAGCACCCATACGACAGGTGCCTACCGGATGCCAATAACCCGACGCTATCTGTTGTATAAGACACTTGTGGTACGATCGGCACCTCCACACAGGTATGTCTGGACAGTACTGACAGCCAGGTATGGGTCGAGGGTTTACATAAGCAAACTCTGAGACCGATGTCTCCTCAACCAAATAGAAAGCATAGGAAACGACGTCCATTAAGGCCTGCCTATCGTCCGGGTGTTTCAGAAAGTTTTGCTGTATTACTGGGTAGTCGTATGGGTTGGCCGACCGGAGTCGCACATAACCCGTACTTTTAGGTCGTATGAGGACTGGCATTACGCCGAAGGAATCCAGTTTCAGGAGATCTTCCCTGTAATCGCGCCACTCGTCCACCCGATTGCCATACACTTGACCCGTGAGAAAACTGAGACCGTTTTTGGGGGTCACCACCGCGTAAATGGTGACATCCGGGTACGTCCAGTCCTGGTTGGCACTGGAGTTAAAAAATAGGTAGGAGGAGACATACTCTGCTAACGGGGCCCTCCAGTTGGTAATTGCATCGTAGAGTTGCTGAATGTCTGGTGTTGGAGCTGGTAGTGATGGATGACTTGTGTTTTTTATGGGCATAGCTATAAACATTCCCAAATGATCCTGTATATTATCTCCAACTGGGAGGTCAGCCCACACACGCTCTATGCCTTGTTGGTGTAGGTGCTTCCGGTGTCCAATGCCTGATAGCATTAGCAGCTGTGGTGAGCCAATGATACCTTAAGAATTATACAATATTAGTACACAAATAGATATTCAATGGTAATTATACAAACATTGAAAACATAAGATATTATAACTATTAAAATAATAAGTTAAGTATCTGACATATAATTAGTTAGCCAATTAAATGTAGCTTAACTCTCGCTCTCTCTCTCTCTCTCTCTCTCACACACACACTCACATATATATATACATTCACTCAATCAATACCTGCGGACACAATGACTTCTTTTGAAGCTTTAATTATATATATTTGGTTGCCTTTAATAAACTCGACTCCATGTGCTTCAGGCACACCATCCACTCCCACATCAATCAATACTTTAGTGACCAAAGCATTCGTCAAAACATTAAGTTTAGGACAAATGGTTGTCTCTATGAAGGCATTGGCAGTGGACTGTCGGATACCATCTCTAATAGTCGACTGCATAATACTCGTGCCGTACTGTGTCGGCCCATTCATGTCAATTATAGGGTATCCCAACTCATGCAGTGATTGTTGCCATTTTAATAGCAATACGTCGGGATTGGGTGGTGTGGACACACTCACGGGTCCACTGCGACCGTGATATATGGGATCGACATTAGGATCGGTATTATTCTCTGATTTCTTGAAATACGGCAACAATTGTTCAAAACTCCAACCGTTGGCACCGAAATCACGAGCAATACTGTCGTAATACTTACGGTTCCCTCTGTTGTATATCATGTTATTAATAGTGGAACCGCCGCCCAATCCCTTTCCCCTTAACTCAACTGTTTGTCTGTTCGGGAAGGCCTGACCCACCTCTGGTTGTGATTCGCATGGATACGCCCAAAATCTTTCAGTTTGCCTCAGATTATGAAAAAATAAACCAGGTACGTCAGTAAGAAGGGCATCCTGACCCCCGCCAGCCTCCAGAAGTAAAACACTGTATCCTTCGTGTGACAGACGACAGGCCACTATAGCACCGGCACTACCGGCGCCCACAACCACGAAGTCATAGGTATTGTTAACCAGTATTTGGTTCGCAAACGAGTCGTGAATCTCTTGTCTCTGCAATAGTATTGAGAAAACTGTTATCCATTGCAGGGATAGAGGAGGAGATGGGATGGCTAATGGATCCAGGATTTTGTAATTGTTTAAGTGTTGCTATAATTAAATTGTAAAAATATCTAAATATGAAATACTTGTAAATAAAATTATTTAAAAAAATACTTAATTTTTATTAACAAAACTAAAATATATTAAAAGCAGAAATAATAAACAATTTTTGTAGTATTTCGAAATAAAACATTTGTAAAAATTAAAAGTACATTTAGTTCATTAACCTTCAGTTTAACTTATAATGTTACTAATTTATGTCTAGATTTTAAAAATTGAATTAACAATAAATCAATTATTTATAAATGCCATAAACACTCTGTAAGTTTACAGAGTTATTTATTTTTTACTAATAAATCATTGTAAAAATATTTTGTCAAAAATAATCATAAAACCTGAATTTATATTTAAGCTAGATGAATAGGTTTATTTGCACTTAAAATCATTTCAGTGATATTTATTTGAAATTTAAAATTTATTTCAAATCATAGCAGTCCTTAATAAATTGCGAGCACTTGTAGCCAACGGTTATAGATATAGCGGCGGTGTTAGAGTTGGGAACCACTGGGAACACCGATGAGTCGCAAACCCTGAGGTTCTTCGCGTACTTAACCCTCAACTNACGGTTATAGATATAGCGGCGGTGTTAGAGTTGGGAACCACTGGGAACACCGATGAGTCGCAAACCCTGAGGTTCTTCGCGTACTTAACCCTCAACTGGGGGTCGACCACAACATCGGGTCTGTCTATTGAGCCCATACGACAACTGCCGGACGTGTGGTAAGCCGTAACGGAGTTATACCTAATCCAACACATCAACCCCTCTGTGCATTCGTGAATATACCTCCCGGTGCACACCGGACAACCATAGTCCGATAATCTTGGTAGAATAACATATTGACCCATTATTGTCTTTTCAAATATATAAAATATGAGCCTGGCAGCATCCAAAATATTGTCAACATCATCCGGGTCGGTCAAAAAGTTTGGGCGCAATAGTGGGTAAACTCTCGGATTGGTTGACTGTAAGCGTACTGTACCACGACTTTTGACCCGGACCATATTAGGTTTGATCAATAATGTGCCATTGAATGTATGACAAAATAGATTCACATTTGGGAATTGTTTATCTTGGTTATTTTTTGTGCTATAAATTAAGGCCGCGAATGGATGTTGTGCGAGTACACCACCTTGCTCGTAGTATAATTGGCTCAATTGTTTTATGTTTATCTGTGCCAGTTCATTTGTGAGATACAAGTACTCGGGTCTAATCTTGGGATTTAATTGTAAACTGGGATGATTTACATAATTGTCACCAACCGGTAGATCCAATATGACTGGTATCCCAAAACTTTGTAAATGCTGTTTGGGACCGATTCCTGATAGCATTAGTAATTGTGGGCTATTTATGGCACCTAAAACAAATCATATAGTATTTAAAATATTATTAAAAATATTTTTGAGTGATAATTACCGCCGGAAACGATAACCTCTTTGTTAGCGTAAACTCTATACTCGATATCATTCCTAATAAACTCCACTCCAATAGCTGTCAACCCATTGAATAGTATTCTTGAGACCAATGCTTTGCAATACACAGTCAGAGCTACCTTACGTTAGCTATTTTTGGCGAATATATAGCCGAATGGCGACAATATATTGAAGAAATCTTTGAAATGAATTACTTTGAAATAGTGGTTCTCCTGACTCGGCCTAAAAGTTCGGGTTATGTGAGACTCCAGTCCTCTAATCCTTACATTTTACCCCTAATAACACAAAACTTTCTGAAACACCCGGACGATAGGCAGGCCTTTATTGACGCCGTTTCCTATGCTTTCTATTTGGTTGAGGAGACATCCATCTCAGAGTTCGCTTATGTAAACCCCCGACCCATACCTGGCTGTCAGTACTGTCCAGACATACCGGTGTGGGAGTGCCGAACATACCACAAGTGTCTCACACAAAAACTTGCTACGAGTTTTTTACATCAGGTGGGCACCTGTCGTATGGGTGCTGTGGACAGGGATGATGTGGTGGTGGACGAGAGGTTGCGAGTGAAAGGCGTCCGTAATCTACGAGTAATCGATGCATCAGTATATCCGACGGTTATTAACGCCAATACAAAAGCAGCCGCAATGGCGGCCGGGGAGAAGGGGGCGGCACTTGTGTTGGAAGACTATAAATATGATAAGGGTGATGATGCTGAGCTAGATCACTTAAATCATGGTTCTGTTGCAGATTTACATTTTGATAAGAATATACTGAATCTATAAAAGATTTTATAAAACTTATTATTTTATTACAGTTAAGTCCCCAAAAATTGCTATGATTTGAAATAAATTTTAATAAATTTATTGATTATAATTTAAAATGATTACTTATAATGAGAGCTGTGAATTTTATTATAACATAACTAATGTACGGTATAATTTGAAAACAAAAAAATAAATTATATTTATCAGTTTTGAAAAATATTCTTTTGATTTATACTTAATTAATAATTATTATCCAAATGAAAATAAATAGTTTCTATTAATTTGAAAATATCATATATATTACAAGTATCCAAAAGATCCAATTGTTTTTACTACTTCTAACTTAGTTTATGCTGTATTGATGCCTACCGATGAAAACCTACCATGCCAATCAACCAGTGTCATAAACGAGTGTTTTTGAACGTGAATAATCAAATTGAAAAACTACATATAATGCTGTTATAATTATTTTGTGGGTTTTATAATAAATTGTATGATCAAATTATATGACAGTACTTTGAACAGAATGTAAATTAGCTTAAATTTTATATTTAAGGTTATTTATTAAATTGTGTCAATGACAAACGTGAAATTGTATTGCACAATAGCAGGTATGCAAAACTTATATCTAATATTTAGAAAATTGTGATCATCTAAAAATATAAATAAAATAAGTTAATGGCACAACAACATTAACATAGTTTTAAAAACAAATAAAATCATTTGTAATAAATATTAGCAACAAAAGTTATGGTTGGGGTCTCGGTGTTAACATACAAACTACTGGCGCTCTCATGGATTACGGCTCAGAGGCAGTTAATCCATGACAGAACGGCATCACGAGAGACGTGGGACAGTAGCTATGATTTTATTGTGGTCGGAGGGGGTGGGTCAGGCGCTGTGGTGGCCAACAAACTCAGTGAATGCAAGTCAGTGCGGGTGCTATTGCTTGAGGCAGGAGGTGCTCAAAGTGCCACATATAATGACATACCCGGGATGGTTGACTACATATATCCAAATGGTATCAATCATTGGAACTACTACTCTGAGTCAAGTCCTAACTTTGGGCAGCAATACCCCGGGGGTCGGATGAAGGAGCCCAGGGGTAAGACATTGGGTGGCAGTACAGCACATAATGATATGATATATAATCGGGGTAATCGGCGAGTCTATGATGAATGGGCCAATACATACGGTGCTGTCGGTTGGAGTTATAAGGATATGTTGCCAGTGTTTAAGGAATGGGAGAATAATACCGATCCGACTGTTGTCGAGAGTAATCCCGGATATCACGGAACTCGTGGACCAATACAAGTGTCAACCCCTAAAAGTCCTGATAAAATGTTTGAGACCTTGTTTGAAGTGTTTAATGATTTAGGATATAGTTATACGGATATTAATGGTGCAAATCAAGGAGGCTATATGTTAACCCAACACTTCATAACGGGACAGGGGTTTAGGTCGGGAACGGGTAATGCATTCGTGGACCCGAATCCACACGAAGACAATCTGCATATCGTTTGCAAAGCATTGGTCTCAAGAATACTATTCAATGGGTTGACAGCTA